TACAATTTTAGAAGTTTGTATGCATTCCATGTCAAAATAGAGGTTAACTCATTCTTTTTTCGAGGTAAGAAATTAGCATCAAAGTATTGAACGAGCAGTTTACAAAACTGTTCCATAGTTGATGTGCAGTTCTGTGTGGTTTTTCCAAGAGTACGGACGCATCTAACTATCAAAATTATGATTTTACGCTGCATTAGCTGATATATTATTAGCTCATATAGGATTGATGCGTTCTATTGGTAATTGTTTCGATTTTTTATAAAGTTGTTTCTATCCTTAAAAATTTATATGAATTCGAATTGAGTGCTGTTATTTACAAGTTATATGCTCCTTGAGTTTATAGTAACCTCAACAATTTTTCTATGCGTAGTTTTTGAATTATTATCTTGTTTTTTTTGCGTCATATTTTGCGTCAGTATGAATACTCGAATTGGATAATCACACCATTTTTTTTAAAATTGTACTTCATGGTTTTTCATATGATGCAATGAAAAAAAAACATTAGAAACGCTCTTTTTTTATTTTCAAATTTTTAAGTTAAGTTCATTTCATGAGGGCTCGATTGAAGACAGATCAAAAAGGTATGGGAAGCAAAACATCTTAAATCAAGGATTTCAGTTTACAGATAATGGAACTCAAAGCAAATATATGTAATCTGCGGGAAGACCAACAACCTGTTGATTTTTAGATTCACTCAAAATGAGCATCATAAGAATTCAAAATTGTCATGATTGCCTTTGGATGCGTCTTTAGAAATGAGGATAATTTTTTGGGGGGAGGAGTGTTTACCCTCATTTATAAGGATAGAAAATAAACATACGGGTAGCACCCTACGTATTAAGAAAGTGAACAGATTTACCATGTATCAAAATAAATTTCACAGTTTCAGTCGGTGAGTGGTAAGTTTCAAAAAACTTTGGGCGCCCAGTGTTTCAAACAAATGGCGCCCATTTTCGCCGATACGGCAGTGTTTAAGATTCTAAATTTTTTCTGGATCAAGATTTTGAGCGGTCAACCCACGCACAACGCTTAAGAAAATCATTTTTTGAAAAAAAAAATGTTTACCGAGAGTGTATCAATTTATTGCATCGTTTACGCTTTTACTACGTATTCTCGTACGTTTTTAGAAGTTTAGTATGTATTCAATCTCAAAGTGGAAATTAACTCATTGTTTTGAGGTACAAAATTAGCATCAAAGTATTAAACGAGCAGTTTGTATGAATTGACTCACCTTGTGGGTTGTCATAATTGTACAGTGGTGTACGCGGGCTAATTCCTCAATCAGTTAAAAATAGTTTTTGGAATTTTGCCTGAATATTTTTCTAATTGTCATTAAAAGTAAGAACAGTAAGTCTATTCTAAACCAAATTGGACGTAGTGAATCTTTCCTCTTCAAAATCAAACTGGTTTTGATTAGATTGAGGCATGGATAGCAGCACAAAATAAATAGTTGAATATTCACTGTGAAACTGAAAATACATGTAATTTCTAATGCAAAAATGTTGCAACACTTTTGAATTTTCAAAAATTATTAGTACATTTTAAAACAAAAACGTCATTTTTTTTCCTCAAAACGTGCGTCATCTAGTTAAAAACAACCACGTTAACTAGTGACGTAACATCTAAACCGAAGTGTTACAATTTTGTCAAAACAATGGTTATAGAAAACTTCTCACTAAATCAAGACTGCCCTGATTGTCATCAGATTAGATCAAAAGTCTGTCATCATACAATTGAAAAATGTAATAATTTTCTCCATATTTGCAATAATCGTTTTGCATTTCATTGAAAAGAAACTCGGAAGTCAAAATATTTGAGAAATTAGAGCGCTTGAAAAATTTATGAAAATATTAGAAAAATGAAATATTGGAACGCATGAATGAAAACAAAAATCATTTGCATAGTTTCGCGCACTTTTCGGTGCTCTTTCACAATCTTCCAAGCTCATTCACAATTTCCATTCATTTTTCCCTCAGAAAGAGCAAAAACATACTCTTCAACCGTTAGAACATAGGTTGGAGATAGCCTCGTGCAAAAGAGCAGCACTCGGGCACTTCGAGCCCTCAGGTCGGGCTCTTTTTCGCTCGGGCATCTTTCAACTAAGTTCTAACTGCTACAAAGAAATCATTTATAGAATGTCAACCAAAAAAATAAAAGACTTAATACACAAGGCATTGTCAGACAATTGAACCAGAAAAAGTGAAGTCACTAGATTTTTTTAAAGAAAAACAAAAGTACAAGAAAAATTAAACCAGAAAACAAAAGGAAGAGTATGTTTTTGCCCCTTCACACATGTTTTTTCCCGACAAGGTATGAATGAAAAATGAAATAAAAGAACGTATGAATGAAAAAAGAAATGATTTGGATACTTTCGCGCACGCGCACTTTTCCGAGCTCTTTCACAATTTTCCGGGCTCTTCCACAATTTTCCGGCATCTTTCCCTCAGAAGGAGTAAAAACATACTCTTCAACAGTTAGAACATAGTTGAAGATGGCCTCGTGCAAAAGAGAAGCACTCGGGCACTTCGTGCCCTCACGCCGGGCATCTTTCAACTATTTTCTAACTACAACAAAGATCAGTTCAAAGTGTCAGTCAAAAATGGCGGTATGCGTGACCCCAAAAGTCAAGTTTCAAAACAATATAAGATAAACCATTTTACATACCACTCACGTTGAATGGATCAAAAATTCGTTTAACAGAAGACTTTATTAAAAAGAACCATGGCAAAATTACAAGGACCTTACCTGAATATGGAGATTAAATATTAAGTTGTAGATACGTCACTTTGACGTACCGGGTTACATATTTAATATTTTCACAATGAACAATTAGACACTCCTAAATATCCCATTTTTAAAAGCAACAAAACATGAAACTGCTCCAAAACAAGCAAAAAAGGAACGTATGAAAAGAAGAAGACTCAAAGCAGGCCGAAAATGGGAAGAACACGGAAAACAGCAGCCAACCAGAAAGCATAAAAACGAGAGCAGACCAGGGCAGAACAAAAAAAGAAAAGACTGCTCGTTCCTGTTTTCTTTTAAGGTTTATGAGCAGTAATAACATTACAAATTAAATGTAATAAAACAAAACGATTTTTTTTAATTTGATTTTTTTAAAATGAAAATCATCTACTCAATTGCACTATACAGTTCAAAAGTATATTTTTTGCTCCCTGTTTCCAATTAAATATGGCAAATAAGCTTCTTTACACCAATTTGGAACAATTTCTACGACGGATTAAATCTCCGCTTACGCGTTTATACAGAGCTGATTTGAATTACACGGAAAAATAAACAAAACTTGAATTTTCACACACGTTTTTCTCAAATTGTGTTAGGATGGACAAAAATGAGAAGAAAAAAAGTTGCTTAGAATTTCACCAAAATTAATATGGTGTAGTTTTTTCCTCCGAATTTCTCAACCAAATTTTTACCTCATAAATGGATTATTTTGGCCTTTTGCGATCAATCAAGTTATACGCTGAAATTACTTTGTTAATAGATGAGCAAGTAATATCACAAGAAGCCTCATGTCTCTTATAAAGTCTCCAAAAACCTGTATAAGAGAAAATATTTTTGTCTTGGTAGTCAAGAAACCTGATTTATACTAACTAAAGTAAAAATCTTTGCTTAAAAACAAATTTTAAACAATTTATTCAATTTTTTGGAGATTTAACCCTTCAAGAATTTTGTTGGGCTGTGGAAAAGGCTCCTTGTGATATATATTTCTCATCAATGAAAAATTAGTTTCAGCGTAAATCTTTAAAACCTGAAATGAGCCAAAATGACCCACTTTTGGGGTGAAATTTTGGCGCAAAATTTTGGAGAAAAAATTGCTCCCTATTGATTATGTTGAGCTTCTAACTATTTTTTTTCTCTTCATTTTTTGTCTAATTTTACCCCAAATTGAGAAAAACGTGTTTGAAATTTCGAATTTCATTCCTTTGTTCCGGATAATTTAAATCAGCATTGTAGCGCGAAAATTATCGCGCGTTAATTGTCCCAAATTGGCCAAATTGCCAATCTTTAAACCACCATAATTTTACTAAAAACGATCACAGGTGGAATAATTTTCCAAATTTCAGCTCAAAACAACAATATCTTTTGAATGATATTAAAAAATGATACGTCAAAATTGGCTAGTTAAAAATTCAAATTTTGCCTAAAGAAAAAAACCCACCTCGAGCACAAATATTCTGTTACTTTAGTTGCAAAAGTCGGAAAAAAATCCGGAAAAGAAATCCATAGTTCACTTCAACTAATCTCAAAGAGGAAAAAGAGAGCAGCCGAGCTGTCCTCAGCGGCGCTTCTCTTCGGAATCACTGGGCCTTTTCCGAAAAAGCTATACAAAAAATCCACCAGAAGAGACCGAAAAGGAAGAAATATCAACAGAAAGTTCTTGTGCTAATAAAGTGCCATTTTGTATTGATGTTGGGAATGTTAATTAAATAGCATAGAGGGGATTATATTGTTAAGTAGATCATAAAAATAGGCCAGATTCATTTGGTTTTTTGAGTAGTTTGGGAGTGAAATTCGACATTCCTTATCCAGAAGAAATTACGCACTTATAAAAAATGCATAAATGCGTAAAGAATTGAATATATGTCAAAAATGCAACAAAATAATTTGAATAGCAGAAAACTATGATAAAACAAAAACTAATTGATAGATGTAAAATAGACTTTGCATTTTTTTGCAAAAAGAGATCAGCAGAAAAACGAGTTGAAGTTTTTCAGCAATTGGACTCCGAACTAGGATAAAAGTCCCTAATTCGGCTACAAAAACAATTAAATCAAGATTAAATGAGACTCATTTCTTGGTTAATTGGAAATTCCGTAAAAACACCTGATTGTATGCAAATAGCGGTTTTTAAAAAATTACTTACGTGCACTGATCACAAATGCATATAAAGCCCCAGCGAAAACGAAAATTGAATTGAAAATTTAGAAGACGATATTGTCGGTTCTTAAAACGAAAGAGTTGACGATTTTTTTGTTCAGACTCTTCTCGTAACTCTGACAATCTCCTTCTCAAACAAAACGAGCGACCTTGAATCAAGACTGAACTCAATGGAAACCAACCAATTGGACGAAAAACAAAAGGTTTGTTCATGTAACATGTCCGTTGTAATTAGGAAGAAGTATTGAAAAAAAGTGAAAATAATTGCGACTAACATCATATTAGCAACAATTTAGCTGGGATTCCCATAAAAATGATAAAAATTGAATTTTCCGCGGAGTGGTAAAAACTAAAACTTGTTAAATTGAAACGTTGTTTAGTGGAGCAATAGAATTGAGAGTAAGTTGGGAAAATGTTTTTTTTCTCAAACTAAATCACAAAAAATTGATTTTGTGTTTAAACATGAATTTGCTTATCAACAATTTAGTTGCTAACCAAAATGTTTTCCAAAGAAAAGTATCGAAAATTAGTTGGAAAAATTTTATCTATGAGTCATGTCCATCGAGTTTATGCATCTTGCAAATTTCACAAGTTTAAATCATTTCAAAAATATGCAATTTGAGACGTAATCAATTTTTTTTACAATTTGTGATAATGTCTACACTTTTTTCTTCAGACTCTTCTCCTGACAATCTCCCTCTCAAACAAAACGAGCGACCTTGAATCAAGACTGAACTCAATGGAAACTAACCAATTGGACGAAAAACAAGATGTATGTTCATGTAACTTGTCCTTTGTAAATTAGAAAAGGTATTTGGAAAAATTTTTTTAAAAAAATTGCCACTAACATCATATTAGCAGCAATTTAGCTGGGCTTTCCCACAAACAAAAAAAATATTTTTTTCCCTGGAAGAGTAAAACGAAATTTTGTTAATTTGCATCGTTGCTTATTAGAACAAGAAAATTGAGAGTAAACTGGGAAATTTTTTTTTCTCAAACTAAATCACAAAAATTTGTTTAAGATTTTGTGTTTTAACATGCATTTGCTCATCAAAACTTTAGTGGCTAACCGGAGATAATTCCAGAGAATAATATCTAAAAAACCTTTAAAAATTTTTATTTCTGTGTCATATCGATCAAATTTATGCATCTTGCAAATTTAACAAACTCAAGTCATTTCAAAAATATGCACTTTGAGACGAAATCAATTTTTTTCATAATTTGTGATAACATATAGTCTTTTAGAATTGCAGTAAATATATTTCAGGAAACAAGCATCATCGTTTTTCAACGTCGAGGTCAATTTGATGTTGATTTCCATAGAAATTTCTCCGAATACGAGAATGGTTTTGGAGGCTCAACCACCATGTCAGACTTTTGGCTGGGATTGAAAACAATGCATAACTTGACCAAACAAGGAAAATGGAAATTAAGAATCTGGACGCGACAATTCTTAGACAATCTAGTCATTTGGGGCGAATGGGAAGGTTATAGCTAGTAGTTACGTTTATTTTATTTTGAAAAAGCTGACCTTTGATTGCTTTCCAATTTCCAATGAAAGATTTCGTCTTTTTTCGGGTTGTTTGAAATAATTATTGATTTTTATTTAAAGAAAACTTCCCATGCAGTATGTTGTACGTAATTGTTTATTTGATATAGATTGGTACCGGCAACTACGGAAAATGAAAGTTTTTTTTGCGTTTTCAGAGGGCTTTGAACAAAAGATCACGTTATTTCAGGTAAAAATAGAATATCGTTCAATAGTACGAAAGGGGGCCAGGAGGTTTTATTCATTTTTCCTTTTCTTGTTCCTTCGTATCCCCTGAAAATTTTAGAACTCCACAACCTTTACTAATCATTATGATAATTTTTATAATTTTCTGTATCCAACCAAAACTTATAAAACTAGGTCAACAATTTTTTGCTGGCAAAGTTAAAATTAAACCCTCCTACAATTTGAAAATCAAGCTCCATTGTTGCATCATTTCATTTTCGGCGAGTCTAACTTGCGCTCACATTTGAATTATTTATCTAAAACAAAACTTTTAAAAATCTCAAAAGTCAAAAAAATCCATGTCAAAAATTAACTTGTACAAGTTTAAGGAGTATTTTCTTTGAGACATCAGAAATTAAAAACGCTCCGTCTATGCCACTGAAAACTAATGATCACATTGATTTTTAGAATTTCAACCTTTTGCCACCCAAAAAGATCATTTGCCACGTCAAGACTTTCAACGCTTCTTTGTTTTTAAGACTTCACGGTCGGCCCTCACCCCTTTTACCGATTATCAGTTGGACCAACGGTGGCGAGTAAGAACATGTGGTACCTTGACGATGCGGGTCCTGGGCCATGGGCTCGTCGTGGCCTTCAATATCACAATGGAATGGCCTTCAAGACTTATGACATGGGCGAAGATGGTATCTGTGCTGTTAAGCATACTGGCGGCTGGTGGTTCAATGGATGTCACAGTATGCACCCGAATGGAATGCAGACAACTTCGAATTCCCACCAGAATGGCACACAGATGTCAATCACAAATGAGGCAGGACGACGAACTTATATTTCTTACAGTGAGATGACAATGATACGTATTGGATGACTCAACCAGTGATCAAAACGCTGTTCAACTGACAAAGCCGAAGACTTAGATTAGAAAAGTTTGAAATACAGACAAAATAATATTGATTCCAATATTGGCTTTTTTCTACCCTCCCCCCGCCCTCCTCACATAAGCATCATTTATATGGTTATTACAATGGGTTTTAAAGGGTTAAATATGAAGACACACTATATTTTTCATAGCCTAATCAATTTTTTTAACAATCGGACAAGGTGAACAGAAAAAAGGAGATGAACCCTTGCATAGGGGGAGGGGGAAAGAGCCCCAATAATTAACAGGAAAAGAGCCCCAATATTTAACAGAGGAGGTTCAATCACATCTCCACGTTTAATTAAAAGAAATATCTAATAGTGCCTAAATTCTTCATTCTGGTGTTTTGAAATGAACCAAAAGTTGAAAAAATACCGCTAATTTTTAAAGCAGACATGCCAAATTAAATTTTGATGAAACAATTGTAGATGAAGCATTTTGTCAAATATGAAATTTGATAATCCCTTGTTGAACAAAAAAATTGAAAAATTGTTTCAGCTTGAGAACTCAGACTGATTCATTTAACATCTGGCTTGCTGTGTTTCGAGACACTGAAATTTTGATGCGCCGATTTTGATTTTGCGCTAGAAAAGTAACTCTGTCCAATGTCTGTCTTAGTTAATCTTTTCATTCATTAATTTGATAACGTTACCTGATTTATATAATTTAGTGATTCATCAGTGATCTGGAATTTTTTGTCTGTAAATAGAATTCGATGTTCATACGGAGGCCTATAGCCAAAAAAATTTGAAATGCTTTTTATTTGAATTAAATTTTATAATAAACACCCAGAATCAAATTACAGATTCAAAATACACGTAATTAGACTAAATCGAATTGGTTATTGTTTTTATATTACCTTTCATACTAAACCGGGTTGAATATGCGAGTGTGAGTATACCAGTCGGATAGTATAAGCCAGACGAAAGCTTGCAGAGTATCTAAACATACCAAAAACTCCGTCAAAAGGTAAATAAACCAGCCAAAAAGTGACGTCGCGTGTATTAAACTTGGGTGTCTTTCAATTAGGTAATTTTGGCCGGTTTAGACGACCGGAAGCTGATTTATATTTTGACTGGCTTCATACAGAATTAGGCATAGAATGATTCATTCTAGTATTTGGTATCGATGAAACTTTTACTTATTAACGGTTTTCAGACTCTGATTCAACTATGAAACATAAAAGCTAAATTACATTGATGATTTTTGAGAAAGTCTACATTTCTCTGGGATATCTGTTTCGTAATTTGAAAACAGGCAAATATCGTTGTTTCTATATTCGTGAGAATAACACACGCTTCGATAAATCTATACTGCTTTGTACTAATGAAGACTTGCAGACTATGCAGAACAAAACCAATAAGCAAGATATCTTGGAAGTTTGTACGCACAAGGGTCAAAATACGATTTGTTTGATCACTAGCGTCATCATTTTCACCGCATTGCTAAAAAGTGTTCCAAAGGTATTTGCAGATTCAGTGATTCCCGAACCACTTCTGGGAAATCATCAGGTTAACTTGTTCATTTCGGATTCAAGGAAGCAATCCTACAATAACAACTTTTTTGTTTCGAGCATGTGCGGTTTATTCGCATAGAGCAAAGACTCTTCAAACATCCACATCGAAAGCCTTCAATGATTCGGGTTATGATCCGAAACAGTTTCGCGGAGTTTCGATGGGTCATTTGCCAAAAACTGAATCTGTATTAGAGAAAAAACATCTTCACCTACGATAACGCCTTTGAAGATGGAAAACTTTGAGCGAATTTATTTTGAGAAGTATTGATAAAAACATTAACACAATCAATTTTTTACGACACAACAACAGTATTGCTTACGTCAATAATATCGACCATATTTTCAAATGCTTTACATGCAAAATTTGCTACACAATCCTTCACAAATTAGACCATTCCAACAAACATATTCTACGAGGCAAAAATTGAATCAAAAACTGCTGTTCCAAAACAGCTTACTTTTGACGTGGGTTCAATTTTGATCATACGAAAGATCAATTTTGATTAAGAAAATATAAAGTAAAAAAAAGATCACACGGATTGGAAAGCATGAACCCATTTTTGTGTCGATTTTGTCCAAAACGCTTGATAAACTCACATTTCTGTGCGACAAAAATTCGCAACCCCTATTTTTTGATTTTCTGGTTCACCTGGAATTAATGGCCGACAAAACAAAAGCAGAAATGCGATCAAAATTTCAATAAGCAAAGACAAAAAACACTACATGCGGTTTATAAGCATCCATAATAAACGAGGCAGTATCAATAGAAATGATAGAAGAGAATACAAAGACGAATATGTCGAGGGCAAGAAAAGTTAGAGGAAATCCCTCACTTTTTCAAGATTCAAAAAACCAATTGATTGATTTGATGCAGTATCTAAAGAGACACTTCAAAGCTCTACCAGTGGAAAGATTCAGCCCCTCTTTAAATTCTTTCTCCTTTCTAACCATCATCGAAGAAAAGTTAAACTTTCCTTTATCAAGAAAGCCAACAAATTTGTTTCTTTCAATCTTGGAGACATTCAGGCTCTGAACACTTTTAAATTTTTGGGTGGAACTACTTCTTTTTCTAGAACTATTTTCTAAGAGCTGACAAAGCCAGTGAAATGAAAAGTTAATTTCCATATGAGTGGTTCGCTACTCTCCACAAGCTAGCCGAAGAACAACTAGCTCTGCATGATGATTTTTTGAAGTAAATTTATGAACAGCAACCCCCACGATAAGATTAACACCACTTTCAGAAGCTTCTCAAAATTACGTACTTCGGAGAGCAAGCTATAAAAAACGGGACTAAACCATACACCTCCTATAGGTTTGGAAAACTACAATTACATGGCCTATAACCTATCTCAACGCTTTTGGAAAGCTATTCCCTATAGATCGATGACCAGATAATTCATACTCATTGTTAATACACGAGGGTCATGAACCCTACCCGATTTCGCCCCATTTTATTCAGTGAATAATTTATATTTTCGATGTTCACATCATTTCATTAGACCTAATTCCCTTGCAAACCGATTATCAACCAGTTTTTTAAGCGTTTTAATTTCTTTCAATCTCGGCCAAAATATAATTCTCACATGAAACTATTTACGTGAGCTTTAAACCCACTCCGAACTTCCCGGAACAACCTCTGTATACGCTAAGCGTATTCATCTGGCCTCGCTTATCAACTATACTGTCTTTATAGTAGCTTTCATCTTAAGGTAACGCTGTGTAGCATTAATATTGTATGTTGGTGATCAAGGTCAACATTGTTATTACCATGAATTAGTCCTGTCGACATGAAGTAGCAGTTAGTTTACTGAGTATTGCGGCTCTTCTCCACTTTCCCTCAACCGGGTTTTATGCATGAAACTGCCAAAAACATTACTTTTATATCTTGACCTGAATCCGCGGTGGAAAAACTTGATTGGCTAAATTAGACTAGCCAAACTCAAGCAACACCGTCATAAATTCCAATCAACAATTCCAGCAGATGAAAACATTAGCCGAAACTACTGACAGTGGGGACATTTTTAAACAGTCGAACTAAGTTGAAGTCACTTGCAAAATTTTGCACAGAAAAAAAGTTCAACAAAATCGCTTCAACGGTATAAAGCGTTCAATGTTTTCGATAAATTCTGCTAACAGTTCCACCTGCTCGATTTGTAAGTCAATCAGGTTCATTGATATTGATTTCAGTTCGAAAATATGTAGAGATACTGATTTTGTGCCATAATTACTCGTAAGACAATTTGAAAAAAAAATAAAACTTGGAAGGATGGTTGAAAAGTGGAAAAGAGTCGGTATTGCAAATAGATATTTCCACAGGGAGTATAATTGTTCAAAATTTCTTGTTTATTCATTGCATTTTCACATCATTGCAAAAATACAAAGCTTCATTGCATTATTTCATTTTTGAAATAGTGCTTAAAGATCTAATATCAAATGTTGGGGAAGTAGTGTGTGCGCTCAGTTAGAAAAACAAACTGTGTAAAACAAGTTTAATAATGCGTATTTTTCGCTAAACACATAAAACAAGAATAAATAAACATCTTAAACGGTTTGCAGAATCGAGATCACAATATCAACTTGTTTCAGTACAAATTTTTGCATGATAAATTGGCTCAACCAGTGAATGTCCGTGAGACAAACTGGTGTTTTTAATGGTCAGCCTTAATTCAAGCTGAACGAATGAGAGCCAGAAAACAGTTAAAAACGGTCAATTAGGATGAGAACCCCTGTTTAAATTTTTGAATACATTGGCCCGTGGGGGATTCAAAACTACACTGGAAAGCTTTTGGTACATTTATTTTAGTCCGTTCGGCCATCCTGCCTTGTTAAGTTTCATATGCATTTAAATGAGATTAATGGTCGGCCGAGTGTGATCACGTATTGCGGTTAAAACGAGGGCGGATCGTGAGCAAACGCCATGTCCATAGTTTAGCTTAACGATTCTGGCGAGAAGGTAGTACCCACGTGGACTATCGGGCTCAATCACCAACAAGAGATCGCCTGTCTTAAGGGTGAAGTCAGACAAGGAGTGCCACAAGAAACGCTTGATTACTAAGGGAACATATTCTCGAAGCCAACGAGACCAAATAGCGTAAGCGTACGACTGCACTCGCACGTACCTTTTCTTGTAGTCGATGTGTTCCCCTGGTAAAAGCGAAGGAAATTTTGTGGCAGGCTGTCCAAGCAAAAGTGGTTTGGTGTAAACTCTTTTAACTCACGTGAATCGGTACTAACAGGAGTGATTGGCATAGAATTCAAAGCATACTCTACTAAGCAGAGTGTTGTTCCTAACAGCTCTTCAGTAGCTCGCCTACTGCCTAGTTAGTTTCAGAGCACGCGCTTTTTGCTTCGGATGAGGCACTCCCAGAAGCGGGTTGATTTTCCAAGCATCTTCTTTGTGGGAAAAAACGGTCGAAGCCATGCTGTCCCAGTT